GAAGTATATTTGAATCAATTACTAAGTAACCTAAATCACAACAACCTGGATGTGTAAAATGTTGATTTTTTTCTTGGGAAACAAATAACGGTGTGGTAATTTATGCTTGTCGATAACATATGATTGGCCTAACTTTTAAATAATAGGTCATTTGAGCCTGGGAACTTTTTCGAAACCGTGGGAAAATCTGCTTTGCTGGTTTTCACTGTTGTTTGCTGGTATAGCAGGTTTTGTACTGAATTTTACAAAACCAGCTGAACCAACATAAAACCAGTACAAAACCAGCAAAATCCGCCGATTTTCCCATGGTATCGAGAAAGTTACCAGGCTCAAGTGACCTTAAACTCAACTTCTTCTTGGTGTTGGTGCCCCATGTAGGAATTCGACCGCCGTAAGTTCAGAACCCAGTCCGTCCCTTGTCAGGAATCAATTCTAGCTATTCAGTTCCTTATTGAAGCTTGTAGGTACGTGACAGCTGTTTTTGGCACCTTGCTCAGAAGAGGCAAGAGAATGATGAGACTGTATGATAACTTCCACGTGCTTCCAGCATTGTGATCAATCCTCAGAATAGAGTTTGTCATGTTTGTCAAAACTATTATAGATAGAAAGCTGAAACTTTCACTGAATTTTATCCCAATTAGGGGACTACAATCCCTGAAAATTTCAGCTCATTTTCACTTATAGTTCCTGAGATAAAATGGTGTTAAGCAATTTGGGGTGATTAATCAATTTTTCAATTTTTCTGAGTACCTTTTTTCATAGATTTCGGCTTCAAATCTGAGAATAATTTAGTGTACGGAGTTTGGGGGATGTTGATTGACCATTAGGACACAAAATCTCGACAAAAAAAATTTGAAATTTCATCGTTAGAAAGCTGAAACTTTCACTGAATTTTATCCCAATCAAGGGACTACAATCCCTGAAAATTTCAGCTCATTTGCACTTATAGTTCCTGAGATAAAATCGTGTTAAGCAATTTGGGGTGATTTATCAATTTTTCAATTTTTCTCAGTGCCTTTTTTCATAGATTTCGGCTTCAAATCTGAGTATAATTTAGTGTATGGAGTTTGGCGGATGTTGATTGACCATTAGGACACAAAATCTCGACAAAAAAAAATTGAAATTTCATCGTTTTAGTAAGAAGTACCTACCTTATGAGTTAGATTTTGGAAAACTTTGAAAGGTCATAACTTTTTTTCTATTATAGATAGAAAGCTGAAACTTTCACTGAATTTTTTCCCAATCAAGGGACTACAATCCCTGAAAATTTCAGCTCATTTGCACTTATAGTTCCTGAGATAAAATCGTGTTAAGCAATTTGGGGTGATTTATCAACTTTTCAATTTTTCTGAGTGCCTTTTTTTCATAGATTTCGGCTTCAATTCTGACTATAATTTAGTGCATGGAGTTTGGGGGATGTTGATTGACCATTAGGAGACAAAATCTCGACAAAAAAAATTGAAATTTCATCGTTTTAGTAAGAAGGTACCTACCTTATGAGTTAGATTTTGGAAAACTTTGAAAGGTCATAACTTTTTTTTCTATTATAGCATCTCCTTTATCATCTTGCTGGACATCAACTCCTGATGGGTTCTTGGTTTTCAGGCCTTTGATTGATTATCTGGATTTGCATTTTCATCTAGATGTTCATTCAGGCAGCATTTCCGCTCTAAAGTCTCTGCGAATGCTTGTCTGCATCAGTGTATTCCCAAATTCCTCCTTTGTAATAAACTCAGCATAGGTTCTTGAAGTACAGGGTGTCCTTAGATAAACTGACACATTTTGCAGATAAATATTTCGAAAACGTGAAACGATAACGAGATGCGGTTTGTTCTGGGAGAATAAGGATTTTTTAAAGTTTTTTTTCACACTATTACCAATTTTGAACAACCGCATGTCTGTAAAACCAAATTTCAGCAAATTTTAGGATTCGGCAATACTGTGAAATAAACCTTAAAATATCCTTATTCTTCCAGAACAAACCGCATCTCGTTATCTTTTCTCGTTTTCGAGATATTTACCTTCAAAATATGCCACTTTATCTATAAGGAAACCCTGACCTGCAAAATGTGTCAGTTTATCTAAGGACACCCTGTATAATATCGTATAGTTGAGATAAACGCCGGCTCTAGTGATTTTAATCCGGCCTCTAATTGTATTATCCACTGTCCGTATCATCGTAGTTCACTTCCGCGGCAATCTTGTGACAGAAGAAACGAACATAAGAAGAGCCAGATCGAGGAAGCTCTATTCCGCAATACCAAATTTAGAAAGTAACGTAATGTCGTTACAAAGCACTCGGTAACATAGCGATAGAGACTCAAGGTAATCTAGAAAACTGGAAGAGTGCCACAGAAGTTCAGGAAAATGCTAAAATTATGAACCTATTTAAAAATGAAGGGAGTGCATCGGATTGTGGCAACCATAGAGGGATCTCACTTCTGTCTGTGGAAAGATTTTAGCGAGAATAATGGCCTCTCGGCTAATAAAACACGTCGACCAAATTATTCCCGAATCTCAAAGCGGATTTCGCCTAAACCGAGGGACAACCAATTCTATCTTCACCCTGAGACAACTTCAGGGAAAAGTCAAGGAGCAACTATGTCAAATGTATGCAGCTTTCGTAGACTTAACTAAGGCCTTTGAGTCAGTAAATAGAAGTGCATTGTGGATTATCATGAGGTGTTTCGGCGTGCTCACTAAATTTCTCAATGTATGGAAAAGCCTACACCAAAATAATTTGGCTTATAGTTTTCTCTATAATTGTGAAGCTACAAAAGCATTTCAGCAGCTACAGAAGCATTTTAGCGCCTATTTTTTTTAGCATCTTTGGCACAGCTCTGTCCATGATTGTTGACAGCAAACTGCTTATAAGGGGAATAGAGGTTAGATACCGATTCGATGCCGGTTGTTTCAACATAAAGAGCCTCAGAGCAAAAACGAGAACTAAATTTGTCACCGACCTCCAGTACGCAGATGACTATGGTACAACTTCTGACTCTGTTGAAAATCTGCAAGCAACCTTGGAAATATTCGACAGGGCGTTGGGGAAATATTCGACTGGGCGGGTTGATCGGAGACGAAAATTTAAAATACGTCGAACACTTCAACTAATATCTGGGAGTTCTAGTAAACAGTAAAGCCAATACCGACGACGAATTTCAAAACAGGATTAGTGCAACATCAAAAGCATTTTTGAGACTGAAAGAGCGAGACTGCAGCAAAGGCATCAGAGTGGTTTTACAAGGTCATTCGAATATATACAACAAAAATATGACATAAGGAGGTTTGTTTATCTTCTGTGATTAAATAGTCCTATTCTGGAGGTTATGATTCTGCCGCGCATTCCGGACACTCCAGGTTATCTTGTGTTATATTCGGCGAGGTCTTCCTAGTCTCTCTGCTTCTGAGTAAGTGGGCTGCAATGTTTTTCCACTGGTTACGATCCCGCGCCAAATCTTCCCATTGATTTTGAATGTTGATTGACTTAAGCTGTTCTTGAAAGACATCTTTGTAACGTTTCAGCTATGGCCTTTCTACGACGTACCTGGGCAACACTGTCAGAATTTCATTTTACAATCTGTTGTGAGCAATACCTGAATATAAGTACTCTATTGTGCCACTTTATTCGCTCTATCTGTCGCAGATATCTTTGCTGAATGCGTTCTAGGTGCTTTGATGTGTCTCCACTAGTGCAAATTATCGCGTAATTACAATCTGATTGGTTCAAATCAACAATCAAAACATGTCAATTTATTGTTGGAATACCAGTTTTGACAGATGTATGAAATTCTCATGTGTATATCACCTAAAAACTGCGAAAACCTGGGTGGGAAGTTTTTCGTGCCCCACATTGTATATAGAATTTGCTCCACCCGGCAGCATTTGGGAGTCATTATGGAAGGGTATATTTTGTATCCTCAGAACGAGATTCTGTATACATCTCTCATCTTGGTTTCTTGTAGAGCCAAAATGTGGGGATGATTGATGGTCCTCTGGTGGTTCTTCAATGTCTAGGCTCCTATGACTATCCAAATAATTACCTATCTTCAATTGGTCAATTGTTATACCTCCTTTACGAGCTGAAAAAATGATTATTCATTGGAGAACATAGACATAGAATTATACCTGAGAAAGTTGAAGACCACAAATGAGCGATAGTACGATGATCTGAAGAAACATGCTGGCTCAAGATGGATACGCAGAACGCCAAAGATAGGAAAGCATGGGGGAATAATTATTAGACATCAGATAGATAGAATTCAACCAAAAACTTGCCATTTGGTATCTATTGCTTCCTCTCCAAGGAAAATTATTGTATATGGTATGGTAGCCTGGTATTACAGATGTTGACAGGACCCACTAACCTTTTTCTAAAAACAAGTTCAATAAAATTACTGAAATAAAATGTAACAAACATTCCAATCTGTGTCCTTCACCTTACCATGGTTAATATAATATAATGTAACAAGTCCATAATAAATTTATCACATCGAATATTTAAATTACTTTTACCGATGCAACGCATGTTGGTACATACTTGTCGCCTTGTTGTCTGCCTAAGCAAACATATGGCCAGAAGTGAAAAAAGAATCGGATCCAAAAAGCAAAGCAAACACATAGTAGGCCAATAATCATCTTCTGCCTCTTGTCCAGCCTGGTGTGTATGTGTCTGGGTCAGCAGGAGCATTTGCCGGTCCCCACCCCCTACGGCTGCACCGCAGCCAAGTCCTGCTGACCGAGTACCGCCGCGACTTCTTCTTTTCCTAAAGCAGGTGGATCCCCATTCTTAAATCGCTACTCTTCAACAAAACAAGAAGAAAAGTCTAACATCTAGATAGTGGTTGTCTGCAGATGCGTTATCGTTCAAGTAGGCCGCGGCGATAGTGTATTGTCTGTGCAAAAAAAAAGTGATCGTATACGCGCGGTAATCGGAGGACAGAGGTTTCGGTCACATTAGCTTGTGATCCTTGTGATTTTTGAGGAAAAGGATTCTTTTTCGAGGTTTTGTTTTTTCATCTCAAACAAGACAAATATATAATTTCTGGTGAGTACCCAATTAATATTAATTGCCGGACTTAATTGACATGAGAATTAACTGTATCAGTAATTAAAGACAGCATAATTCCGTTTGATTATTATAAGAAACATTCAAATTAATAAATTTCAACGCATATCAGATTTGTAATAGGTACTTAGGTAGTTTATTTTGGAAAAAATTAATCGAGCAAATTAATTATTTTTTTCTGGGTGCTCATTCTTCAATGAATGGCCAACCATATTTTTTTCTCATTTGTAAGCTATTGCTCTGTTTCCAGGGGATGATTTGTTCTGGGTAATTGGATGAAGTGACCCAAAAAAAGGTATAAAACTAAATCTTGCTGATATCGACTATAAAAACTGTGGGACATCTACATATATCAAAAGAAGAAAAGGCAGATCCTTGGCGGCTGGGGCTGTTAGGTTGGAACCCCAAGAGACAATCATTAGGTCGCTACATTTTTGGAACAAAAATAGAAAAATGTTTAAATTTCAATAGTTTTTACAGTGTCCAAAACTTCTCACTTATTGTAAATCATCATGACTACATTGTTCAATCTGTGAAATCGTGACTGTTGTTCTTATATCCAGTTATTTGCTTTTCTCCAGAATCTCCAAATCTGAGCTGCCAATGCGTAATTCCGACTCCATCATTCTAATTTTGATTCTTGAGAAATCTCATGAGGGGGTGTGGCATTGAAATGCAATGATAGAAAAATAATGTAGATTTTTGCAGGAACTGAAGTATTATAGGTAGAGGTAGACAAGGCTCGCGAAGACAGGAACGCATCCCTGTAAAACATCTTTCCTTTGCTTGGTTTTCGAAAAGTATCCACATGGTACCTACCCTTACCTAATTCCCACACATCTACGTCAACCTTGACCTAAAATTCAATAGAATCGATGTACGACAGTATTGTAAAAAACTCCAATAGGATTCTTTCCTTCAAGCCCTTAGTAAGGAGACAGCAGCACCCCATGTACCTATATGCGCAGATATAGGCCCATTTTCGTGAAACGTTTTGAAGGTGCAAAAAAAGATGGCACATCAGAATTCGCTCAAATTTGGCCTCAACATTCTTTGATCTGAAGATTAATGGAGTTATTTGTTTCAATTTCTAGCATGGTTATTCTAATTTTTCAAAAGATAGGCAACCAAAGAAACAGCGGGGTGCTGTTGTTCCCTTAAGCACAATAATGGCCTATTTTTTTTTTGAAATCTTATTATCGTATTCTTTAAATGAAAGTTTCAAATACATTCTTACCCATCAAAAATCATAATTTGTATAAATAATATTTATTCTATAGTTTCGCAATGAAATTAAATTCAGCAATAGAAGTGATTTAATTAGACTTAACATGTTACAAGAACCAATAAAGATCTTCTCCTTTAGGTTGTAGCTACTAGCTGCTACCATATAAAGATGTTACTCAAGCGGTACAGATAGACATAAATTGTTCAAGGTAAATAGCAGTGCGTTTTTGTCGGCTAATTCTGGCACGTATTTCCTCTTTGTAAAATGGGTTTGGGAATTGGCACATTGGGCTAAATACGCATCTAATATTGTACAAACTTTACTTTCTTTTTTGAACGGTTATTGGGTCAATTTTCAGTTTTACCTTCATGAAAAACCATCAAAAATTAAATTGAATCCCATATCGCAACAAAAGACTGGTGTAAGTTGATGTAGAAAGTAAAACATGTAAACAATAATTATTAAGTCGTGCGACAAACATAATATAACGGTGCGGCTATTATTAACTTGTTAGAGTGATGCAATTCAATTTAAAGCTTCACAAATCGTAAATCGAGTGGGCAATGAATCAATTGACAAATAATTGACCGCGGATTGAAGTTTATAAGAAATCAGTTTAGGAATTTTACTGATTTCGGTTGCTTTAACCAAATAAAAAAATTGATTGAGGGTCTCTCTGTGCTGAGTCAAGTCTCTTGTGGGTTTCCAGAGATGGATATTTTCTCGTGGATTCTGGAAAAATGGGCTACAAGTCAGAAGTGGAGAAATTTCAGCTTGAGCAACAGGCGAAGAGCCTTCATCTTGGCATTTTTAACAATTTTCCTCTTGGCATCTCTAGTCTATTCATTGAGGGCAGACAGACTGTGGTTTATGCACGTTCCAACGCTATAATTGAAATTTCAGGATATCATGTCGAAGAGATGGATCTAAGCAACGAAAATCCCTGACATTTTTCTCCTCCTGCAAGAAAAGAAGTCTTTGTTTTTCCATTTTGAAATCTATATTCTAAAACCAAAAATGTTTAAAGGTTAACCCACACCAACAAGTTTACTTATGCCCCATTTCATTATTAGCACAAAGGCCTACCGACAAAAATTTCAACCAATTATTCCGCCGGCAACGCATTATCTCCTAATTAAACTTTAAAGAACATTGCCGCTTTTTCACTTGACCAAAAGAGAGATTAAAAATTGGGTTAAGAAGAAGAGGCGATCGACTTGTTTGTACCTTGACCGTGGCCATGGGAGTGTACCGGCAGCGAAAGACCTGTTTGTCCAACTGGTCGGTTGCGGAATATCACGTATTTAGTTAATGTATACGGTTACCGTATAGTTTAATTCAATCCACGATTTCCCATAATCGATAAAACTATTAAACCGAAGAAATAAACTATTTCGGTTGGCGTTTTGAACGGTAGGTATATGATGTCCTATGGCGTCGAAGATTGACGCGCTTTGGAATTTAAGAAATACTTTATTAAGGCTGTCTTGTTAAGTCTTTGTTTTGTTAGCCAACAATAACCTCAGATTGTGCCACTCAAATAAAAGTATTACAATCAACATTTCTATATGGCAAAATACACATTTTCAATCATTGATGAAGCGATAAATAATACCTAGACAGTTATTTGTCATATCGCAAACACACAAGATTAATTTGTATTTACATAAACTGCCATAGTACCTACTACTATATAAAACGTGGGTGAGTTAATTTACGATCAAAATAGCATCCACTCAACAACCAGTTATAAGGCTTCAAACAAACCATTCATCTCCCACGATTTGAACCTGATTGTTCATATCTTTGTAACAACCTCTATTTGGTCTCAACTACAACCTGACAATTTATTGGCACCTAATACTGATGATTGAGTGAAATTGTATTCAGTGATTTATTGATTTCTAATTATCGACGTTCATTACCTATTTTGGAATATGATGGATTTTTATAATGGCATTTATGATGTTTAGAAACTTTTAATTATAAGTGATTACATAGTTGAAGTTGTTATAGAGACATCGGTAACCCCAAATAGTGTTATTACTATCAGCTTTGGCTCACTAATTGTTGAAATATTTATCGTCTACATCAATGAGCTACAAAACGGCCCAGGAACGAATCCGGTAGCTGTAAAGCCTAATCTAGAAACCCGAGGTTAAGTCTTAAGGTCGAAGGTTGGGCTAATAATGAGTTCCAGTTCAACATGCGAAAGGTTTACAAGCGCACGGTTGCGGTTATCGGCCCAGCATCAGACTATTAGAAAACCATTATTGGATAGTCGCGACGGTTTAAAAATATTAAAATTAAATTTACTGACCATGCCTAGTAAATTAAAAATATTGAAAAATCACTTGAGAAATTCCATAAGTTAGCATAGACTACATGATTTTGTTTATCAGACATAGCACATCATCCAATATGGATATTCGGTATTTAGTTGTTCCAAAAAAATTATCCAATGTATGAAGGAGCCATAGACAATCAACATTTGAACTATTACCGGCTCTTGATTTTCTGGAAAACTTTCCTGGAGCCAGTCAAAAGCCGGTAATAGTCAAAATTAGAACTTTTATCAACTCTGGATTCGCTAGAGAATTTTTCTAAGGGCATTTTAAGCTCGAGAGCCAATGACAATCAAAATTTCGAATAATCATTAGAAGATCTTAAGTTGATATTAATCAAAATCTCTTCTCTTCTTCCGCAGCTTCTAATTGGCCCAAGAAAGATAAGCCAATGGATCAAGAGTCACAGATGATCCAAATTTGAATTATTATCGGCTCTTGATTCTCTGGAAAACTTTCCTGGTGCCGGCAATAGTCAAAATTTGAACTTTTGGCAACTCTGGATTCGCTAGAAAATTTTTCTAAGGGCATTCAAGGCTCAAGAGCCGATGATAATCAAAATTTTGAATGATCATTAGTAGCTCTTAAGTTGATATTAATCACAATTTTTCCGCAGCTTTTAATTGACCCAAGGAAAATTATCTCATGGATCAAGTGCCACAGATAATCGAAATTTGAACTATTACCTGCTCTTGATTCTCTGGAAAACTTTCCTGGAGCCAATCAAGAGCCGGTAATAGTCAAAATTTGAACTTTCATCAACTTTGGATCCGGAAGAAATTTTGTTTAAGAGCATTCGGATTCAGAGCCCAAGAGCCGATAAAAATAAAAATTTCGATTAGTCATTAGCAGCTCAATTGGCTCTTTTTGTTGAACAATCACAGTGCATCCAAGCGCCGCTACTGGCCACATATTGGTTCTTACATGAACAACATTGTATTCAGACCTAAAACTATTCATTCTCATCTCAGTTATATCCATATTTTCGAAAATAAATGGAAAAAGCAGTCAACCTGAAACTGGTTAAATACTTCGAAGTCAATTAGCTCATCTCTGAAAAACAGTACCGGATTTCATTTCAAACGATCAACAGGGGATCTGCTGGCGTACGTCAGTTATATTTGAAGCTCGACTATTGAAAAGCATGGCAAGAATTCAGAATTGTAGCATTGGACATCTTCAAGGATTTTGCACCAGGTGTTGCACAAAGGTCTCATCAGCAAACTTCCATCGTATGGTCTTCCAAACGAATTTTGCCATTGGCTGGGGAGCTCCTTGAAAGGCAAGTCACTGCATGTTGTGGTCGAGGGTGTGTCTTCTGTTACAGTGTCTATAAACGCCGGCCTTGCCCGAGGATCAAATCTGGCCCCAAAACTGTTTCTCATTATTATAAACGATTTGTTAAG